TAGTATTTATACCAAAATAAAGAAATAAAGGTATGAGCAGCAAACATACAGTTAAGAGCCTGTAAGAAAGATTCCACCATAGTCATTCTTCAGTACAGTAATGAAGAGAGCTATAGGCAGGAGTGAATACTCTGGAAGGATAAACCCTTTTCCCTGACAGGTGAGCAGGGAAACCTATGCAGGCCCGCTATCAGCCTTAGAGGAGCCCACAGCCGATTTGGTCCTTTCCCCTTTGCTTTTCCTTGGGTGCACAGGCCTACAAGGAATGCTCCCAGGTAAAGATGGGTAGAGTGTCTAGGGGCTCAGACTTTGCCAATACCATTTTTTTTTTTCAAGGCAACACCTTACTGTTCTTTCCCAGCACGGACCTCTGAAGATACAATGAGACGGATGTGAATTTCAGTTCCCTCCAGAAGTGATCCCAAATGCATTTAAAAGAGTTACACTTATGTCTCACCCTCTGCTTTTCTCTATTTCAGGGCTAATTTTGGTCTTTCATTTCAACATCTCTGATAGACTATTGAGACATGTTTTGGCTCTCAATGTGAGGATTTGAGGAAAGAGTTTCTATGATCGAATGAGTTGAAAGCCATTGTGGTCTAACCAGAAGGAGGCTTGGAAAATCCAGAGGGAGAGGCAACTTCGTCTCGTACACACATTGGCTCTCTGGAGACAGCGCCGATTTCAAATCTGTACCAGGACTTCTGATGTGGTTCACAGTCATCTTACAGAGCCCAAGTCCTTCAGTAGCAGAAAGTGCCACAAGCCAGCTTGCTTGCTGGTGATTTTGATTTTAGTCTATTTCCTTCCTCACAAGTTTGCAAGTAAACAGTATGTACTTTTAGACATCTATTTGAGAAACAGCACAAAAATATAAGTGGCTATCCTCATAAATCAAGCCTTCAAGACATTTTCCACTAGCAAGATAACCTCCAACCCCTACTACAGTTCTCTAAGTTGCAAAAGGGATGATGAAAAATACCTGTTCTCAATGAAGTAAGACTAAATTCAAAAGAGCCCACAAAGCAGTCTGGAAAAGCTATGCCTATCCCCACATTGTTATTGCTGATGTTTTCTTTTTGGTTAGGATCACAAAATGACCCTCAAAATTCAAGTGTGTGCCTCAAAATTCACAGTATAATAGGCTGATGCAGTAAAACCCCATACTCCTGCAGTAATGACAAAGAAAACAAAAACATATTCAGAAAGCAACACAAGCTCATATGAAAAATAAATTCAATTTTACTTCATTGATCCTGAGCTCTGAGTTCTCCCATTTTTGCCACCGTGCATTTATGAGGTCACTACCTTTTCTACTAAGAGTCTTCTGAAGGTCTTGACTGGTGTGTATAAGACACAGGCTTAACTTTTTAAAACAGTTATAACTGAGGCTGCTCATGAAGCCACGGAGCACTCTGATTGCAATAAGCAACTGATGCGAGCAATGGCTCCTTTAAAATTCACAATTGATGTGATTTGGTAGAACTTTACTAAATTAGATGGCAAACAGAAACCAACACCATGCCATGTTTAAACACCAAAAGGACATTTTCTCTTCAAATTCCTTCTCCGAGTGTACTATTCAATATTTGTGATCTTAGATCCATTCAAAGATGACTGGAAGAACAAACCATTAACTTGGTTTGAACTTCATTAGTGGCCTGGGCTTTCTTTTTTCCCACCTGTTAGCAGCGCTTCCATCTAGGTAAAAGAATTCCAAGAGTCCCGAACAACCCCTGTTTGCATTGGCAGTAATAGAGTCAAGTTTGAAATCGGAAGAAACAATTCCAACTTGCATCAAAGGGGAAGTGTTTGTACATTTTACAAAATCTCTGTTCTCTACCTGTAGTGCATGGTCCCTTTGGACTCTAAAACACTTATTAATCTATACCATGGCGACAAAAATTCCTTCAGGAGAATCATATTGAATTAATCTTACAGTAGCAGCATGTTTAAGATATTTGTTCTCAAATAAGTCTAAAGAAAAGGATAGCTCTGGGGCACTGAAAAGGCAAGAAGTTCCAGAGATGCAGGGAAGTTTGGTACACCCCATGACTCAAGGGTTGGAGTCAGGAAGCTAGAAGTCAAATGCCAAACTCTCTTTGTTTGCTTACTATTTGTCTTACTTTTTGCCTCAATCCATCATCAAAAAAATGAGCCCTTCACATAGCAAATAATGTGAATAATAAAATATCCTTTTCTTTGCAAAATTCCAGTTAACCCTTGGCCAGTGAACAGTCAATATCTTTCTCAATAAACAAGCTTCTACTCAAAGAGCTATGAAGATTTTACAGACAGCAGCCACCACATTGCCAAAGCGGAGGACAAATGTATTCATCCTCTAAGCTATGAAATGTTGTTCTCAGAAAGCCAAGGCATGGACATTGAAGAATATTTGGGTTAGCATCATCTTTAACTGCCTTCGGGTACCACAAAAGAAGCCAGAATGAGCATTCTGAACAGTGGGGGTGGGGAAGCAAAGGAAGAAGCAAACGTACTAAAATACAGTGATGGGTGATATGCACGAATATATTTATCATCTGAGAACTTGAATGCCATAACCCAAACAAGTTAACAATTTGAATGACAGCTACTTGGGCCATGTTTCGGTCTACTATAGCAGTGTTGATAATCCCACAAATGAAATATCTCCCATCTTGCTAATCAGTCAAAAAAATCTTACATGAAAAAAATAAATAAATAAGCTGTCCTTTGAATGACTCTATAGCCTACCCATATAACTCAAATTTTTATGGAAACTACATATTCCTTTCATTAAATTGCCCCCTCTCGGTGCAGCTAAATCAGGCCATTCACTGCTAGATCTGCACACTTGCATTTTCATCTCTTTACTCAACCCTCGTTTAAAGATGTCAGACAGAGAAAGATCTGGACCCTAGGTACAAAAGAAACAAATGCAGCTGGCCTGTCTATGCAAACACTGAGACCCTGTACAGAGGTCCCACCTCTTTCCTTAAGGCACAGAGTCCTGTCAATAGCCATGACTTATTAAACAGGCTGCCATCCACTCCCTTCTCCTGAGTGTAGAACAAGATCATGGAGAGGCAGAAATAACTACCTTGGGTTCTTCTTTAAAGACCATCTCAGAAAGAAAGGTAGGAAATCGATACAGAGAGGACAGGGAAATGCCCCTACTGTGCTCCCCACAGCCCCGGGGGTGAGAAGTAGGGCCACAATCCATTATTTATATCAACTGCTGCAAAATAGATGAAAATTCTAAGGTCTCCAACATAGATAGGAACCTATTTCAGTGCAATAAATGTGCTCAGAAGCAGCACTAACCCTTTATCCGGCCACAACACTCAAGCTAGATTTGCTGAAAGGAGCAGGAGCACCCTCCCTCCTCTGGAAAATGTGATCTCAGAAATCACCACTTCAAGCAAAACAGGGGGAAACTGCAAGGGGCCGGCTCTGTGGCAGAAACCTTCCTTCTCTTTGCTTTCCTGTTTCCCACGGACCATCCGGGTGATGGATGCAATTTTCTGAAGCAGTGTAAAAACACAAGCGTCTGTCCCCTGGCCTTTTCTTACAAGTGCACGACATTTAAAAAAAAAAAAAAAAGTCACAAATGTTAAATAACACCCTAGGTAAAAATCAGAGGTCAGGAAACTAAATAATAATAATAACTGAAAGCAACCATCACATTCCTACCAGCACTGAGCAGGGAGGAACACTTTTTCTTTCTCCCAGATGTTACGGCTCAAAACATGAATACTAAGGGCAACATATCCAGACTGTTTCTTTTCTTTTCTTTCTTTCTTTTTATTTTCCTTTTTCTTTCAGAGTGGCTTGTCTTGGAACTTGAACTGACATACTGGGGGCTTGTCCTGTATAACCTTCACAGGTTGCACAAGTGTTTTCTAATCCGGATGCTCAGGCACAAACAGAAGATTCCTGGGATTTCTGTTCACTAAGCGGAGAGGGTGGGGTGGAGGTCAATTAGTTACCCGCAACGCTCATAAAAATAGAAAGCATGGGGCTTCAAAGAGAAAGCGACCATGTTTAGGGGTTACACTGGCCGCTACTGGCACCGACTGTGCCAGGCTGAAATGCGATACCCAAAGGGGAACATGTTACAAAGAGCTTGGCCGTTGTACTAAGCCGGGTCCTAGTCTGCTCATCATCTGCAGGGTGAGAGAAAGAGATCAGGTTTACACCCCTCACCCATCTGGGAAGGGAACAAAAGCAAAGGCTTGGCACAACTAAAAGGGGGAAGGAAAAAAAAATCTTCCTCCTTCTCCAGGACCCTGGGGGCCGCAGCTCTGCAGAGTCCCCCTTGCATTTCCTCACTGTTAACTCACTCCACTGGCCTTGGACACAATTTCCACACCTGGAAATGGCCAGGGACAGGCTGAGGGGAGGGGTCCATCTGGGAGGGCCTCATTTCCCTACCTCTCCCAATGGCTTCTAAATTAACCCTTCCTAGTCGCTGCCCGGCAGAGATACTGGAAGAGTCCACAGCTACATCCCATGGACACCACTACCAAATACCTGCATCAGATCTTCACCCCCACACTGGTCATAACTTCCTTTTGTGGGCTATCATAACCAGTTTTGGCTGTGCTTAGAAAGCTTCCCACAGGAGGGCAGGAAGGATTGGGTGCACAGGGAAGGGAATAGTCTCATCCCTGCCCAGGCCACTATGGAGAATACAACCTGGACTCACTCTCAAGTCTGCAGTGAGGAGCTTTTGCATTCGCTTAACCCTTTTAAAGGAGTCAGAAGTCTGTTCTTATTTGGGACCCACTGAAGTAGGAGCCCTGGCTCTAGAGATCTCCTCCACTTGCAGGATGCCCCTACTCCACACACAGACACAGCGGAGACCCACACCTTTGGCCCCCTTGAGGCCATTTTTAACCATAGCCTCACACTCTGCCCCAAACCGGGTAACTGGGGAAGTGGCAACCAGGAGAAAAGAGAGCCAGAAAGCAGAAAGAAACTCGGCAGTAAATCACTGCTGAGACAAGGAGTCTACTTACGAAATTTGGGGCTGGTGCTAGTTTCTGGGGTGGTGGTAGTGGAGGAGGTGGAAGAGGGTGAGGAAGAAGAGGCGGCCGCGGCATCCTGAAAGGGTGACAGGGTCCAGGAGGGAGTGGAATCGTGGAGGTAGGAGGAGGTAGCATACGCCGCAGTGGGCCAGGAAGGCATCGCCTGCGTACTAGGGGCTCCTGGCATTGGGGGTCTGGAGCCTGGCGTGCTGCTACTGAAGAAAGGGACCGTGGTGGACAGGACCGTCGGGGGGACCGCAGTGTTCCGTGCCGTGGTCGAGCGCGGGCTTGCCCACATGGGCACCCGGTGCCCAGGGAAGCGAGTGGGCGCCCGCGTGATGGTGGTCAAGCGGGTGGTAATCCGGTTAGGCGTCCTGGAGGAGGCGGCGCCGCCGGCAGAGGGGGTGGCGGGGGACATGGTGGAAGTGGTCGTAGTGGTGGTTTCCATAGCCTTGGGGAAGGAGCTGGGCTTGGAGAGGAAGAAGGGGTCCTGGCCCATTCCCTTGGAGTCCACCAGGTCCGTGGGCACGTACTCCTTGACGGAGCCCACCACGATCCATTTAAGCAGCATGAGGCTGAGCCCAAGGCCGATGAAGCCGATGAACAGAGGCACCACGCACAACCACGTCTGCTGCCGGTTCCACACGATGCAGTCGCTACAGCGTAACTCCCGGGGGGGCTCGGCCGCCCCTTCTCCGCCGCCGTCCGGGCCCCCGCCCGCCGCCGCAGCCGCCGCGGTGCCCTCCTCGGCCGAGGCGGCGGCTGCCGAAGCGGCACCAGGTGGCGAGGCAGCGGCCGCCCCTTCACTCATCCTAGGAGCCGGTCTTCACCTTCGCCCCCCCGAGGGCCGCGCCAGAGGCATGGGGCCGCGCGGGCCGGGCGCGGGCGCGGGCGCGGGCTCCGGCGGCGGCGGGCTCCGGCGCAGGCAGCGGCCGCGGCGGCCGCATGCAAATCGGCTCCCTGCCCCCACGCCCCTCCCCCCCGAGAGGCGGGCGGCGGGCGGGGAGGAGAGGACGGGGGAGGGGACGCGGGCCGGGGAGGGGGCGGCGAGGAGCGCGGAAGAGGGGCGAGACCGGCCCCGGCACCGCCGGCCGGTCAGGGAGCGGCGGGGCGCGTCTGCAGCCCGCCGAGCTGCCTCCTGCGCGCCGGGGTCCCCCGACTGCTGATGGTGCTGATGATGCCGCTGATGCTGATGCCGCCGTAGATGCTGCCCGCCGCCTGTGTGCACTCCAGCCTCGCCGGCATCCTGGGGCGCCGCGCCCGGCTCGCTCCCTGGGGCACCTGGCCGCGCTGCCGCTGCCCCCACCTCAGAGCCTCACGTCGCCCTCAGGGGACCGGGCGGGCAGCCGTTTGATGCCCGGCGCCGGCAAGCAGCATTCCGACACAGGGGGCCAGCCTGGCAGCTGCTCGCCTAGCCCCGGCGCGGTGCGATGCTCAGTAGCTGCTCGGCGAGCCCGGGCGATGAGGTGCACCTGTTCTTCAGCCGGCCCGCAGCCAACCCTCGGTCAGCGCTCCCCGGGAGAAACCAATCCTAGCGCAGCGCAGAGGGCGAGCAGCCGGGCTCGCCTCGCTCCCGCCGCCCGCGGCTCTGCGCAGCCACTGCCGCTGCCACCCCTGAGTCAAACTCCGGCAAGCGCCGCCGCCGCCGCCCCGGAGCGGGGGACCCGGAGGCGCACCCCGACCAGCACGCAGAGGATTCCAGACAGCCTCGGCGCCGCTGCAGGATAGAACAGGAGAGCAGAAACGGGCGACCGCGACGGGGGGTCCGGGGCGGCTCTGATCCCCAGCGAAAGGCTGCTCCAGGCGGTTTCTCGCAGGCAACCAAGAGGGTGCGGATGTCTGTTCGGAATCGCCGCGGACTGGGTGGGAATCGGACAAGCGCCTCCCACCAACACCTAATGGTGCTTTCTTCCAGTGCGCTAGATAAATAAATGGTGTGAGTGGACCCTCATTGGAGATGTGTGGCACCCGCAGGTCGGGATCTGCCTTGTGCGGGTCTCTGTTGAGGATCCTGCGAGGTCAGAGACTGAAGCTGTTGGGAGAAGGCGCAGGGGCGTGATAGGTGGGAGGGCGCCTCTGAGCTCCCCTGCCCCGCCGCGGTGCAGCTGGACGGAGAGCTACGTTCTCTTCGGAGTTGCCAAGAGATGCTGCTGAAAAAGATGCTTCTGTAATCATGTCTCCGAGCCATTAACTTAACCTTTTAAAAAGTACTCTCTTAAAAATGTAGGTACGCCCTAGTACACACGTCACAGAGCAAGAAGCAAAAATGAGAAAAAGATCCTGCCTAGTCTCTCAAATTACGTGGCCGGTTTCTTCTCATGGGTACAGAGAGACAGGAGTCTTTCCAGTATTGGGTGCACTGTGGTACCTCCCTGAGGACCGGGTGGCACAGAGAGGGATGAGCAAGAGCCGGTACTAATATAATACATGCTACTGGTGTAAAGCTATGTTTCCCGACACTATCCAGACTCCTAGGCTAAGGTGGAAACGAAAGAGCAATTTTTTTTAATTTATTTATTTACTTTTACAAGCGCCAAGAACGAATGGGGGCTTAGGAATAGCAACTTCTTAACAGTCTCTCCGGCAGCACTGTCTGGGGACGCTGGTGCAGACAGCATTCTCCTGTCCTGTGGTGCACTCGGCAAAGATGAAGTTTCCTGGGTATCCATTTTATTTTATTCACAGGTGAGGAGGGGAAAAGCGAATGCGACTCTGAGGAGATGGCAAAGATCAGAGAATGCGTTCAAACAGGAAGCCCTTGGGGAATTGTGCCTACCAGAGTTCTTTGAACTGGCATGATTAATAAATTATTTTTGATGGCAGTAATGTGGCTGTCACCTCTTTTAGCTCTAACACTGAGATTTCTCCCATAGGAAAACCTTTGGTTTTTAATTTGACAGAACATGCCCTAACCTAGCAGTGCTGAATTATGGTGCTGAGAACTGCAAACGGGGGAGGGGGGGGAGTTGAAGCCATACTCTTGGCTTTCTAATGCAAGGCATAAGTAAAAATTAACCCAGCCTTAACCTTCTGTGGGCTGCCAAGCATCTGCTCCCTGCCTGTCTCATGCAGTAAATAAAAGTCTTTCCACATTACAGTAGGTACTGCTGTTGACGACTTGAGAAAGAAGATTTCTTTTCTGCACTTACTTCATCACCGTCCCACCCCCAGTATTCTGCGTTCTTTGCCTTCTTCCTCCCCCACTGGAAAAAATCCAAATCACAGAGAGGTGCTGTAATGCTTCTGTGGGTAAATGCTCTATTCCTGAAACCACAGTTGGACAGTGTCCACATTCTCTTCATTGTGTCCCAAAGTCTTTTTTTTTTAACTTCTCTTTCCAAATTCTCTCTCCTTCTCCTTGCTACTCGGCTCTAAGAGCTTATTCATGGTTCCCTGTTGAGTTCATATTTTCCAGGAGCCCAAGCCACTGTACTCAGCATCAACTCTTCTCACATCCCCAGTGGGAGAAGGCAGGGGAGCCCAATGCCAATTTTCCATTAGGGAGCAGGTTGTAATGGGCCATCTAGAAAGGGTTAGCAGATGGAACCATCCTCAGGGTGGAGTTGTACTGTAAGGCTTTCTGGTGGTAGGTGGTAAGCATTTGGACTGGAACTGGGGAAGTGCATCCACAACAGTCAAGATCAAGTAGTGGGCTCTCTTGCTCCTAAGGGGCCAAAGGTAGTCTGTTATATGGAATAACTTAGAAGTGTTGACAGAGGTTTCTGTCCTACCTGGTCCCTCAGTCATTCAGTTCTTTAAAAAAACACACATAGAGGCCTACATTAATTAAAAACTGGTTGGCCTATTAGCTCGGGTTTCTTATTAACTAATTCTCACATCTTACATTAACCCATATTTGTTGTCTGTGTTAGCCACATGGCTTTGGTACCTTCTATCAGCAAGGCAGTCTCATTTTTTTTTCCTTTGTGTCTGGGTAATGACTGCAGACTGACCCTTTCCTCTACCAAGAATTCTCCTTTTCTAGTCGCCCCGCCTATACATCCTGCCTGGCTACTGGTCAATCAGCGTTTTATTAAACCAACACAAGTGACAAATCTTTACAAGGTACAAGACCACTGTCACACAGCATAGAGACACCAAGGAGAAAAGCCTCTGGGAAAATGAGAGATTTTCTAGATGAGGTTGGTTGAGGCAGGAAGACTCATTCAAACCATAGTCTATAGACTAATGTCTAGTTCCAGAAGAAAAGGAGAAAGCTGAGCACCAGCATGCATTGCTCTGTTTCCCGTGGCTGCAATGTGAGCAGGTAGCTCAAGACTCGGCCACCAGACTTGCCTAACTGTATGATCTGCATTTTCACGCTGTGGCAAGAGCAACACCTTCCTTCCTTAAGCTACTTTAGCCAGAGCTATTCCATCAAAAAATGAGAACAGTAACTAAGACACCTACCTGTTTCTGATGACTCATAGTTTATTTAAGCCAAGAACTATGATAGGTTTATATGAAGACTTTCAAGTTAGATCTCTGCTTCTGGTCACGATTAAAAGCCCCTTTGGACCAGTTTTCTCATCTATAAAATGGAGTTGCTACTTAATTCTATGGAAATGTATCACTAAAAAGATTATTCACCTGTGGTATCTTTGAAGCATGGTCATCAGCTACTTCTCTGAGTCAGAGGAAACTCAGTTCTTTCAAAGACTCTAAATCTCTAAGCTCAGAAACATGAGGCCATTTACTTTCTGTCATTACAATATGATTGTCTTTAAGGATGGGACCCTTACTAAAAATTCTTGATTGAGAACTGCAAGGTTGGGAGTAACCACTGGCCAAACACTTCCAATCTGTTATCCTACAAAACAGTCCAGCCTCCCAAGTCACTTTATTCTTCTCAGAGCTCATAAGAAGGTATTCCTGCTTAGGGAAGCCTGCCCAGCCTTGGAATGGCAGACTTTAAGAGACTTTAATTTTGAGAAAAGTTTTGATTTTATTACTTTTCCTCTTTTTTTTTTTTCACCTGGCTCAGTCATCATGAACCAGATGTGAGGCTTGGAGGATAGAAGAGAGATCAGAACCCACATTTCATGGAGTTTATTTTGTAGGGAAAGTGACTGACAGCAAACAATAGCAACCAAAAATAAACCCTAGAATACCAAGAAAAGAGAACTGTATTATGGGTCCACAAAGAATAAGCTTTCTTGGCATGGTTTGTGTAAATATCTCTAACTTATTTACCATCATCCTTTTTTAATGCCAGAGAACTTCACATTCCTACCATTGAATGGCAGAGTTCTCTATAAATCATGATCAAATTATACTACAGTCACTTAAAAGCCAGTCTGTCTCACCGACCCCAGTTATTCTCCATATTGCTCTCTGGACTCAAGTTTAGAAGCAGTGTGATACCTGGAAATATCTCACACTATAAACATTTTGTAATTGCTGAAGTCTGCCTTCTTCTGCATGACCATATCAATTTCCTTTTTACCTCTTAGCTTAGTCTGAGCCTAGTACTGTGGCTGCAACTATAAAAGTTCTATAGAAATTGTGATGACCTTTTGAAAATAGAAATATCCTCTCTTTTCTGTATCTCTCAATAATGACCTCACGTATTTCTTTGGGCTCTTCATCAACTCAAAATATAAGATCAACCCAGAAGGACACCAGAAAAATCTTCCTGTAGAAAAAGCAGTCTTCACAACATCAAGACTTCACGGAATTTTCCAATACATTATGCCATCAATAAAATGAACAATAATTTATGTGAGTAATACAGAACAAATATCAGAGAGTGGAAAGGTGAGGAATTCCAGATGTAGCCATACACAAGTTGCAAAAAAAGAATATATTACCC